ATATCCTCAGCAGTATAGAGTGTGAAATCTGCAGTGAATGAAAAGCAGATGAAATTATTGAATAGAAGAAATGAAATGAAAACTTCCTGATTGATGTCACGAGAATACCTTGTATGGAAAGTCCTTTAATGTTTTTATACAGACAATAGAAAACTATAACTCTACCTGGTATGGTTAAGGTGGTGTTTTTTTTTTTCTTTGTTTTTTGCAGTGCTTCTTATCCTGAATACACATACATCATTTACATGCTACCTACTGCATAGCGTACAACACAGTATTTTAACATCTTTTCTCTAATTTAAACTTTTTTTTTGATTTCAGAATGGTTGAGTCAGCAGTAGTTTTGATTGGTAACAAACAAGATTTATGCCACATGAGGGAAGTTGACTGGGATGAAGGACAAAAGCTGGCAATGGATAACAAGTGCCATTTCTCTGGGCTGTCTGCAGCTGAACATTATCAGGAAGTTGTGGCAATGTTCACAAAACTCCTGAGGAATATCACCTCAAATTTCAAAGCAAAGAGAAGACCAAGTGGATCAAAATCAATGGCTAAGTTAATCAACAATGTGTTTGGAAAGAGAAGGAAATCTGTGTAAAAGATGGTTAGTCCTGAATTAGGAACAAGCTGAAATAATATAACACAAGCAGCACTTGCTATTCAGTCAACTTCCTCTGGGGTCAGTGTCTGGAGAAGTAAGACAGTACAGTCAAGGAGACAGGGTCTAGACCTAGGAGACCCAATCTTCTATTTCCAGTTCTACAACAGATTTAATGTATTAGGGCTATGTAACTTAATCTCTAAGCAGCTCCTTCCACTCTTTATCTCCTAAATTCTTCAGAGCAGGGAGTTTTATTCTGTATTTATTCAACATCAGCATGGACTTGGACAGAGTCCATGGCTTATACTCAGGTGTGGCTGAGTATAAGCAGCCATTTTCAATTAACTCAGCCTTGCTTACCAAAATCTTTCTTGAGAACTCGGAGATGTAGTTGTTCTTTTGCGCAAGAACACTTGCACTAAAGAAAAGCAAAATATTCCTATAGTGTACGATAGCATACTTAACTTGAGAAAGAACAGTTCAGAGCCTCATGATCCTAAAGGTGCCTCATACCTGCTGAAATTCATAGAAATTAAGTGTTTAGACAGCAAATCTACAGAAGATATTTACTATCAAATCTACCTTGTGGAAGCACCAGAAGTAGGGAATCAGATAAACAATGCAGTATTGTCTTCTGTTTCATATCTTCTTTGTGGTGGGTTTCTTTGTTTGTTGTTGTTGTTTAGTGATAAGGTAGAGAGGACTGAGGAGGGTAAGAACTGAAAAATGTTAGTCAGTGAGCAGTGGACTGTTTTAGCAAGATCATTAGCTAGGGCCAGTGTAACATCTTGGATTGATCACTTTCACTGAGTAGTTTTCTGGCATTATAGTATAGTTTCTTTACTGGTAAGGTAGATACGCCTGTTCAAGAACTTAATTTCTGCATGCGTTTAAAGGTCAGCCTGCTGGTAGGAGCCATGCTCCTAACTTGCACAGAGTTTTTTCAAAAGACCAGTGCTTTAAAACTGAGTTATCACTGTGGTATTAAAATGCCACTTGACAGAGTACTAAGGAGCACTAGCTACACTTTTCAAATGTGGATATTAAACATCACATGGGTCTAAATATGCTGTCAGTTGACATACAGAGCTCTTTCTGTAGATTTAACTAAATAAGGGCTTAGCCCAGCATGTTTGAAAGTGCTGTGGTCATACAGAAATCATGAAAGGGAGGAAGAATGATCCAAAAGTGAGTTACTGCTTCTTGCTCAGTCCAGAGGACAGCTGGGATTAGGTCTTTATGAGTGTCTGCACCAAAGCCTGCCTCTTCTCTGGAAGGTTTGAAACTGTATTGAAACTGTTAAGATTACTTTATCAGTTGGGACAGAATACTGATTTTAAAATGTCCATAAGATAGCATATAAAAAGCTATATAATCTTAATATTATTGTAGTAAAATAAAAGTAAAGAAAGTTTTAATGTGTTGACCAAAGATCACTTTTTAAATAAACGTTTTATTTCACTTGTTTTAAGACTACAAATACTGGAATATAGTTCTCACACAACGCTACTGTATTTTCTATTCAGATGCTTCTCTGCCATATCAGGAGTAGTGTACTTAAGACTGTGTTGTCAGTATTTATGAAACTGAACTTGAAGACTACTCATGTACACCTCTCAGCTTTCCAGCACACATGGAATTCCAGAACAGCTGATAGACTGTCAGTATGCCAGGGCAGCTGTATATTGCCATTTCTAGCATTGTCCAGAAACGTGTTGACCTGTTGTTTGTATTTACCGCTATGGTATCCAATAAACTGAATATAAGATGGATGTATTAACACTTTTTGTTTGTTTGTTTTACTGTGGTATAAATACATGTGTGTGTATATATATATTTCTATAAAAGGGAAGCACCATGCAGATCTGGAATTTGAATTAGAAGAAATAAATCTGAGAATCAGAAACTTGTGCAAAAGACAGCCTCTAGCTGCAGAGGACTTTTTTTTGTCTTTATCCTTACAAATTTGTGAAGATAACCATGGAAGCTAATTAGTTTTGATTTGCTGGTATTGGAATATGGACTTCCAGGTAAGCGTAACCTGCGGCATGCCCCACTGTTTTCCCTCCCTTATTTTCCAGATGGTTTAAACAGTGAAACAGAAGAGTGGCTGTTTCCTGGCCTGTGTGATTGGTTTCCAGGTAAGTGCAACCTTCTGAGACAACCGCAAGGTACACATAGGCTTAAGCATACTGAAATATCCATTATAAACATAACTTGATGTTCTTAAGATCAGGACTTCTGTTGTCTCTTATTGCTGGTAAATGCAAATAGCGCAGAATTTGGGAAGGAATTCAGTTTCAAAGCAGTAAAGCATACACATGTTTTTTCTACTATAAGTGTATTAAAAGAATGATTTACATGTTACTAAATGTTTTAACAGCCAATGTAATATGTTACTAATTATTTAAGCCACATTTTCTTTGCATATCTTCTCATTTTCAAAAATGCAAAGAAGAAACCTGCTTGCAAGAAGAAATGAATGATGTTATTTGATGTTTGATGCTTGCCCTTGGTAATGGCATCACCTACTGTACTCATTGAAAAAGGTGGAAATGGAGTTGTTTGGTTTGCCATGGATTGCTTCACTATATGACCTGTTTCTTTCTCACCAAAAAGATTTTGAAATTGCCGTACGAGAGTTAATGTCCTTGTTCAGATGAACTTTCAACAGTTTTGGTAAATTTTTGTCTGAGAAAGGCATTCAGAATTGATGTTCCTTCTCACTGTCTTCAACTTGAAAAGAAAACACACAAAACTTTAGAAACAGTGACATAAAAACAAAGAGATTCTAGTGAAGTATAAAGGTAATAGCCCCTGACTCCCAAATGCTGTCTCTGAGAGAGCTTTCAGGTATTTTTTGAAGCTCTTTCTCACTTTAGTTTTGAAATAAAACAAACACAACCTCAGCTTATTTTCCTGCTGTCATGTCTGCATTAAACTCTTTCTATAATTCCCACTATAGTCACACTCACAACAGGGCAAAGGGGAAAATCACAGAGTCACAGAACCGTAGGGGTTGGAAGGGACCTCGAAAGATCATTGGGTCCAACCCCCCTGCCAAAGCAGGTTCCTCAGAGCAGGCTGCCCAGGTAGGCATCCAGACAGGCCTTGAATATCTCCAGAGAAGGAGACACCACAACCTCCCTAGGCAGCTTGTTCCAGTGATCCATCACCCTCACTGTGAAGAAGTTCTTTCGCATGTCAGTGCGGAACTTCCTGTGCTCTAACTTGCAGCCATTGCCCCTTGTCCTATCCCCACAAACCACTGAGAAGTGGTTGGCTACGTCCTTCTGTCCCCCACCCCTCAGGTATTTATATACACTGAGGAGATCCCCTCTCAGTCTTCTTTTCTGCAGGCTGAACAGACCCAGGTATCTCAGCCTTTCCTCATAAGGAAGATGCTCCAGGCCCCGTATCATCTTTGTGGCCCTCCGCTGGACTCTCCAGGAGATCCCTGTCTTTCTTGTACCGGGGAGCCCAGATCTGGACACAGTACTCCAGGTGAGGCCTGACCAGGGCAGGGTAGAGGGGGAGGATCACCTCCCTTGACCTGCTGGTCACTCTCCTTTTAATGCACGCCAGGATCCCATTAGCCCTCTTGGCCACCAGGGCACACTGCTGGCTCATTGTCAACCTGTCGTCCACCAGGACCCCCAGATCCTTCTCCTCAGAGTTCCTCTCCAGCATGTCATCCCTCAGCCTGTACCGATACTTCGGGTTGTTCCTTCCCAGGTGCACGACTCTACACTTGCTCTTGTTAAACCTCATTTGGTTTCTTCCTGCCCATCTCTCCACCATGTCCAGGTCTCACTGAATGGCAGCACAGCCTTCTGGCATCTCAGCCACTCCTCCCAGCTTTGTGTCATCGGCGTATTTGCTGAGGGCAGACACTATTCCCTCATCAAGTTCGTTGATGAAGATGTTGAACTAGACAGGACCCAGTACCATCCCCTGGGGAACACTGCTAGTGATAGGTCTCCAGCTGGACTCTGCTCCTCCGATCACCACCCTCTGAGCTCGGCCAGTCAGCCAGTTCTCAACCCACCTTGCAGTCCACTCATCTATCCCACACTTTCTCAGCTTTGCTAGTAGGATGTCATGGGAGACAGTATCGAAAGCCTTGCTAAAGTCAAGGTAGATGACATCCACTGCTCTCCCCCCATCTACCCAGCTGGTGATGCCATCATAGAAGGCAACGAGGTTGGTTGAGAAGGACTTCCCCTTGGTGAATCCATGCTGAATACTCCTCATAAACTTCTTCTCTTCCAATTGCTTGGACATGGCATCCAGAACAAGCTTTTTCCAACACCTTTCCAGGGACAGAGGTGAGACTGACTGGCCTGTAGTTTCCCAGATCCTCCTTCTTGCCCTTCTTGAAGACCAGAGTGACACTGGCTATCCTCCAGTCTTCAGACACCTCTCCTGTTTTCCAGGACGTTTCAAAGATGATAGAGAGCAGTTCAGCGATCACCTCTGCCAGCTCCCTTAGCACACACGGATGCATCCCATCGGTACCATGGATTTGTATGTGTTGAGCCCCACTCAGACGGTCCCGAACCACTCCCACGTCCACCAGGAGGGAGCCCTCCATTTCCCAGACCCTTTGTGCTATTGTCAGGGGCAAGGAGTCCTGGGGGAGTGTCCTTGGGGCAAAGAGTGAAGCAAAGAAAGCATTCAGTATCTCTGCCTTCTCAATGTCTCCCGTGACCAGGACGCCCCCCTCATTCAGCAAGGGACCCACATTATCCCTAGTCTTCCTCTTGCTGTTTACATACTTGAAAAACCCTTCTTGTTATCCTTTATCTCTTTTGCAAGCCTTTAGGTGGGCTTTAGCCTTCCTCGTCGCATCCTTGCAGGGCCTGACAACACGTCTATACTCCTCCCAAGAGGACAGGCCCTTTTTCCACATTTCATAGACCATCCTCTTCCTTTTCACACAGAATCACAGATTTGATCTTATTGATGAGCTCCTTGCTCATCCACACAGGTTTCCTGTCCCTCTTCCCCGATTTCCTACTCTTAGGGATGCACCGATCCTGAGCATGGAAGAAGTGCTGCTTAAATGTAGGCCAGCTTTCACAAGCACCCTTGCATTCTAGCAGCCTATCCCATGAGATACTCCCAAGCAGGTCCCAGAAGAGGTCGAAGTTGGCTCTTCGGAAGTCCAGGGTAGCAATCCTGCTTTTAGCCTTACTTCCTTAATGTCACAGAAAAACTTATTCCTTATGTCTGATATTCCTGGAAGGAGGAGCAATTAGGTGTAGCACTGAGTATGCAAACAAACATACTATTTCTTTCTGAAAAGAAAACAAAAACAAAACAAAAATTTAAATCAGGATAACAATAAAGAGGTAGAGCAGAATGTTTTGAAGCTGTGCTATACTCTGAAAACAACAGCAAGTATCACAGGTTGCCTAGCCCACTGCTAGAAGCTGACTTCAGAAGTAATTATGAAAGGTAAATACTGAAGCATCAAAACCTTGTGAGTCATGCAGGGACAACCTTGTTTCTGTTCTCTCTATCTGGCTGCGCTATTTTGAGGGTGATGCAGCAGTAGATATTTGAAGATATCTGATTGCGGTGCTCTGTCCAGCAAGGAGGTAGAAAGAGGGATGGATGCTGTAGCTAACAGCCTGAACAGGCATGATGCTGTCTGTCACCGACAGTTGGATCCAGATCACTCAGTGGTATTTTCAGAGGGTGCACTGTGGAGAATTATTAAGAAGTTATTATGAACACCACTCAAAGCAAAACTTTTAGGCTACCAGCCTAGAATAATATAAAGCGATATTAACTTATACTCTTGAATAAATTAGTTCTCACTGTATTTAAAAAAAAAATGGAACCCCTTCCTCCTTAAGCCAGGAACATTCATAGCCTTAGCCTTTACTTGACAATGGAAAACAAATACAAGGGGAAGCTAAATTTTGACACACTGGTTAAGATGGTTTGAAAAGCAAATCCTTTGTTTTTGTTTGCCTGAATGAGGAACTGGTAATCTGTCAAATTCTATCATTTTAAAACTTGGGTTTGATTTTTACATAATGAAGCAGTGTTGTAAATGTTTGTGTCGTGCCACCCCACCCTCATATTTCAAGACAGGAAGGCTATTCTGGTTAGGAAGTTATTTTTAAACAGACATTACTCTCTCTCAGAAACAGACTGTAAGTCTCTGTTTTCTTTTAGTTGCTTTATAAAGTAAATTGAGTCCCTCTGGTTATATAATTAATATCCACATTTAGCCATATATATTTGAGATGACCGCTGAGCCATTTACAGCTAAATTCATTTCTTAAGACTGACCAGGAGGTCAGATACACATTTAATCTCTGTTGAACTTTGTTAAGCATCCAGAGTTTTTCTTGTGAAGGCCTCTAACAGTACAGAGAAATAGCTACCAGAAGTGAAACAAGTAGGGAACAAAGCTGTTATCATGGAGTTTGTACCACATGATCTAAGCATGTCTGTCCCCATGTACACTTTATGTTCATATTCAGCAGCAAGATGGCATCATATCTATATTGCATAATGTATTTTACTACCTGAGATAAATGCAAAGGAAATCAAGTTTAAAACATTTGACCTTAAAATTACAGGCAATGTGATATCTAACAAAGATTTCATTTTTAAAAGACAACTTTTTAAATAGACTTTGCAACTGTTATTTATTATTATTTTTTTTTTCCCCCAGAATTGTTTGCTAACCTTTCAGGTGAGTTTCATCCCAGAAAAGGAAAAACAAACAAACAAACAAACAAACAAAAACACTATTGTAAAGATTCTCCGAGCTTCTGAACGTTTTACAACCTTATCTGAGTGTCTGCGAAAAGTAACGCGCTGCTTAATGAGGAAAACGAGAGCTTTACTGCTTCCAACAGCTCCCTCTCGTGGTGTTTTGCTCACACTTCATCGTCCTCCGTGAGCAATGAAACATTTCAGTTTCTCCTCAGGTTAAAAAATCAATTCTATAAACCCAAGTCCACAAACTACAGGTAAAAAACAGCCTCCCACCCAATACTACAAAATTTTGCTATCGATTATTTCTTAACAATAAGAAATTGGCTTCATAGGCTTCTTTTGACTGAATCTTTGCTAACAAAACTGCATGCATTTAAAAGTTGTTTTTTTTTGTGAATAACATTTCTGAGCTCAGCTGTTTCACTGAAATAAAGTTCAGCTACCTTGTCTAAAATACTGAAAGTATGTTAACATACTGCCAATATATATTAATATCTTCGAGAAGGGCTTGTGAGCTTGTATCGTTTTCCCAGCTACTGCTATTAGCCTCATAAGAGGTCTAACCTCCACTTTCTCCTTCTACTCCTTCCTGAAGATATTTATCCCCAGAACATGGCAGAGAGGCATGACAGGGAGCTAAGGCACAGTTAGGCAACGTTTCTTCTCTTATCTGTAAGCTGTACCACAGATGTACTAGTTCAATCTTTAAATGAGCAAGGTCATTTACTGGAAAGATTCCAGGGGTGGCTTCATCTGGCCAAATACTGAGGTCTCCTTCTAGATTCCCATCTCAGTGAGATGCCTTTCTACCAAAGGATTTACCTCATCAGGGTGATGCCTCAAATAATGTAGATGAATCACACTTCAAAAAGGCATTAAACTCTCCACCAACTATAAACATAATTAGGATTGGAGATCTCTAAAGTTAGGTGAGATGAATCATGCTCCAAACATGACCTCTAGGGGCTCTTTGCTAGCTATTTTGCCCTTCTTCAGCTCTACAGAGCCATCTGTCCTACTTTACAAAGTCAATTTAGTCCCTATGGTTAGACAATTAACATCTAACTGGAGCTGACCAGTGGGTCATTTAATGCTAAATTTATTTCATATGATTGATCAGGATGCTGGATTGTATTTGATCCCTGCTGAACTTCATGGAACACCCTAAAATCTGTCTGTCACATGTTGAATTAATGGATGGGCTGAATTGAAATGAAGCTAAGTTAACTGAATACTGCTGCAGATTGCTTCCAAGCTAGCTCATTAAAAACTAACTAGCACATCTTGATGCTTCACTGCAGTCTGCAGCACAGACATTTTAAATGTTTGCCTATGGTAACTCAAAAAGCCTAAGGTTAAGCAGAAAGTTGTCAGGTCTCTGGAGTACCAAGCTAGTGATTCAATTAGTCGGTTTCTGAGTTGGAAAATATGTTTCAACAATGTGTGTGACACTGGCTCACTTTGTGACTTATTCTGGTAGGAATTGCTGGCCATATGGAAAGAACCAAGCTCTTAACATGTGAATGGACAGCTTAAGATCTACCATTCATAAATTGATTTGCAATTGTACATCCTTCTCTTTGCGATTAGAGGATTTTGCACCAAATAGCTCCAATCTTAAAATATTTTATTAAACCAGTGGTTGAACTAAACAGCAAAGTTGTTCAGTGAGCTATTTCCTTTTGACCACTGACGTGAGGTCACAGTCACACCGGTTTCCCATCACATCTCCAGCTATTACAGCACTGCATTATCCAAACAATAGTATGAGAAGTCCAGAAAACTGTATGTACTGATGGACCACGTGCTGCTGCTGTAGAATATACGCAGCAGCTGAACTGTAAATGTCTTTCCCTCACAGAGCTGATCTAGTTCTGTGTGTTATATTCTCAGTCTCCTTTTTATGAAACTTAGAGGAACACAAGGCACATGCAAACTTTATTTCCTCTTTCTATTTCAAACCCAGTATTTATTAACAGGTGCAGAAGTTGTTAGTGGGAGAATGAACTGACAGGGCAGTTCAGAAAAGGTTCAATGGGTATTTAGTCTGGAATCCAGGCTGAAATATTACCTTAATTTTTTGTTGTTGTTGCTTTATGCAGTTAAATTGGTAAAATGTGATAGAAATTGCTTCATCGTTTATTCCACATGAAATATAAGCAGAGTAGCCATCTTTTACTTTCCCACAAGATGGCTGCATGCAAAAATCTTAATTTAAACACAACCTCCATCTACAATAATGGATTACTAGACATGTGTTTTGCTGGCATATAGCTAAGCTTCATTCTTCAAATTCTCTGCATGAAAATGCCCTCTGAGCGAATTTTTCCTAGTTACTAAAGACGAGTCACATAGGCAAAACTACTTGTGTATAAGGGTTCTTGTGATTACTGGGCTGAGCTAAATGGATGCACAATTACATGATTAAATACAACATTTTTTACTAACTACATATAATTTTGGCTGTCACTCAGAATCAATTGCATTGAGGTACTGAGGTACTCTGGGATCTGTCCTATACAGACCTTAGGGAATACTGCAAATACTGAGCTAAATCGCATAACTTATCTTAGGCACAAATGGAAAATGTTTACAAAAGAACTAATCTATAATCATCTTTTACAATGTTTGAAATCTCCTTCTGTTTGCTTGTATTTTTGATCATTAATACGGATTTACAAACAGATACTATTGTTCATGTATGTTTTTCAACTGCCCAGAATGCATCTAGTCTTCAGTTTAGCCTATATTTAAAAAAAAAAAAAAAAAAAAAAAAAAAAAAAAAAGGCCAGTGTACACAAGGTTGTCCTGAATGATCTAGTCTGGCTTCACAGAACTAGTTAAACTGGTCTTTTGCCATCTGGGCCTTAACCAGTGCCTCCAACAAGCTTTTCTCTGTACTATTTCTATAACACTCCTAGGAGCCACACGAGCAGTGCTCAGCTGAGTAAGTTACTCTTTGTTCTTTCTCTTCTTCCCTTCTCAGATTCAACCTCTGGATCTTACTGTGATTAATTTAGTACCAGAGGGTATGTGTACTTGTATTACTGATACACAGAACAGGTACAGTGCAGAGCATTATTACGCCCTGATCTGTTTTTAACATAAGGCACAGACATATAGGTATGCATGTGAGGGGTGTGTGAGAAATAATTTCCTCTTTCCTATGCGCACACATGAAAAACTGCTATTTTTATGAAAATCTGTTGATTATATGTTGAAATAAATATATACCTGAATGGAGGTTAAAGTAGGTTAATATACATGTATACAACAATTTAGGTTTGCATACTAGCACTTTTCAGGCATAAGTCACAGAACAAATAGATAACACAGAGCACATATCAGAAATCCTGCATTTCCACTTTGGCTGTGGAGTAGGTATGCCTACAGGCAGAAAGGGAGAGAGAAAGACTCTAGTGTCAAAGAAGTTCTGAAAGTTGTTCATAACAGGATTCCACAGCCACCAACATACCCCCTACTATTAATCAGTATTTTTATCCCTGTAACCCCAAATGAAAAAGCTGTTTTTGCACCAAATCTGTTCAGTCACTGCTTACTAAGCCATGCAGTGGGCCAAAATTACCAAAATATCACAGCCATATTCCATGAGCCCTATTGAGAATCATATGAAAACTGATCTAAGCTAAATTTGAACGTGCAGGTTAGGAATTAGAAGCAGTCCAGCACAATGTCATCTTTTTTCTTCAAAGTAGCTATACAGTCGAAGGACTGGGAAGGCACACTGAAATAGCACACTTGTCTCACTGCTTCTGCCCCACTTTTCTAAAATTGCCATTTCTCAACATCCACAGAGATACCTTTTACCTGTGGAAGGAACAGAGAAAATAGTCTATATCCCCTTTTTCCCCAGCTCTCTCTCTTCCTTTGCCCAGCTGAGCAGAAGAGATGCAAGCCTTTGTTTTTAATTTTATTAAACTCAGGGTCAAATCCTGCTTGCTGTTTTTCTGGAACAAACTCAGAATAACTCCAGATTAACAGTGGTACAAGTGAGAACTAAATTACGCCCTGAAAAAATTATTTAAAAATCTTTCAGACACCTAAACAGATGGATAAATCAAGCACAGATTCTCAGGTCAACCTCTACCAGAAGGAATCTCTCATCTGACTTACAGTAGAAGTAAGATGCTATGATAGCAGCTAACAATAGAAAGAGAGATACAGTAAGGGAGGGGTATATTTTTCCTTACCAAACTCACTTGATTTAATACAAGGCATGCACAATTAATGATGGCTTTGAGTGATACCTGTATGTTTTATAGGTTTATAAATTGGTTGTAGTAAAATCTTATACATCCTATATCACTAGGTATTGTTTCAGCCTATTACAGGAGATATCTATCTAGAGTTGACTGAATTGTATTAATCTGATCCTAGTTTAATGATGCCTTAACATTTTTATGGGAGAATTTAATGTTTGCAATATCCATGTTCCTTATTTGAAAGTGTGACTTATAGGTTCTCATCTTCCTTAAATTATGAAATCCTTCAGCTAATAAAGGAAAATGATTATGGTTTGCAAAAAAGGCAAAGTCATTTAACAATCCATATAACTGTCTATTGTAGGTCTTTGCATAATAATTGTAATTTAGCTATTAGGAGTTCTAAAGGCAGTTATCAGTCATATGCCGCAATTCTGAGGAATAAGGGAAAACTCAAATTATTTAAAGGCTTTGTACTTTCCAAAGGGAGAAAAAAATAAAGCAGAAATCAATAATACTTTTAACAATGAAAAAAAAAAATGTTCTACTGAAATAACCAGTTGTTGATGGCAATTTTTCTAACTATTCAATACTGAAATTTTAAGCTTTCCTCCATATTTCACTGCCACAAAATGATATTCATTTTATACAGGCACTTCTGTAAGCAGGGAAAGACAAGTTAGGATTAGAATCTGCAATTCTTGATGCCCAAGACTTTCCATTTTTGCCCTTGGTACATGAAGAGGAGTGACCAAAGATAAATCAGATGGACTGTAGCCCTGGAACACAGATCTTCTTCAATTTGAAATTACTGTCTGAATTTGACTTTGTGTCTAGGGCATGTCTTGATTATTTCCTTCTCAGATGAGGATACTACATACGTGAATCCAGCTTAGTTAACTGCATGTGCTTTCATATTTCTTGTACTACGGTCAAGCCTCTGCAATTGTAACATTCTCTTCTAAGATTCCAACCTTCATTTCCCCAAATCCCAGCTTTCCTCAGTAAAACATATACAAGGAAGGTATACACCTGGCTGAGGTGACAACTGTCACCTCAGTCCCTATGAAGATTATGTAGCAAGTCTCCCTAGAAGCCATTTCCAGGCACTTAAAGGATAAGAATATAACTAGGAATGGCAAAAACATATTTACCAAGGATAATTGTTCCTGACCAAACTGGTTGCTATCATGAAACTGGTGTCTATGTAGACGTCAGAAAAGTGGTAGATGTAATTTGCCTTCAGTTTAGCAATGCTTTTGACACAGTCTATGTTAGCACATAGGAGAGATTGACTACATAGGACAACTACAAGGTGGCTGAAAATAGACTGGATGGTCAGGCTCAAAGGGTAGTGCTCAGTGATGAAACATCTAACTGGGACTGGTTTCTTCAGGCACTTGTCAGGGACTGATCCTGGGACTGACACTGTTTAGCATCTTCATTGACTAGCATCTTCCTTCTCTGCTACAATAGCAGAGATCCCATCCTCAGCAGGTTGGAAATGACAATGAAACTGGGGCAAGGGTTGACACTTTGGAAAGATACAGACACAAGACTGCTAACGGGAGTTAGCACAAAACAAATGTGAAGTTCTGTATTGAGGGTGCAATAGTACAGTCTAGGGACTGAGCAGGTGAGAGCTAGAAAGGGAGTTGGTGGTCCTAGCTAGTTAGCAGCACGACCTTGTCATTATGAAGGTCAACCTCATCCTGGCCTGTGTTAGTAAGAACATAGACTGAAGGAAGTTATTATTCTCCTCTACTTGGCTCTTGCATGGCTGCTTCTAGTAAACTGTACAATTTTCACTCCTCCAGTGCAAGAGAAATAGAGAATTAGTTCAGCACAGGGCTACCAAGATGGTTAGGGGTCTGAGCACATGATGTAGAAGAGGCTGAGGAAACTAAGTTTATTTAGACTTGGGAAGGTTAATGTGGGATTTAATTGCACATGTCAGCTACCTACTATACAAGACAGAACCAGACTCTTCTCAGAAGTGCACAGCAAAAAGAGATGGGTCAACAGATACAATTGGCAGTAAGGCAAATTCCAAGTGAACATTAAGAAATAAAAAAATGAGAGTGCCTAAGCATTGAAACATGTTTTCCAGTAAGGCTGTGTAACCTCCTCTCTTGGAAATTTCCAAAACTGAATTGAAAAGCACTCTGAACAACTTGATCTAGCTTCTAAACTCTGAGTTGGAGGCAAATTCCTGCCTATCTGAAAAAGGCCAAATATGTCTTAACAAGTGTGAAAATGAGAATAGCTAGAATATCAGTTCTTATATGATATTCAAAAAACATCGTGATAGGATAACTGCTTTTGCTTCAGCTATGACATCTGTCATCCAAACACAGTCCTGACTTACCTTTGGTATACAGCATGTTTTAGTAGCAGATTCAGACACTGAATTGAGAGATGAGCCAGATGCACAGCTACTAACAGGCATTGTAGCATTCAGTATCTAGAATAAATGCAAATCTTGACATTCATCAACAACCTATAACACAAAGCACCATTAACAGACCAAAATATAGACCAATTAAAATATATTTTGAGCACGTCCTTTACATTCTATATTTACAATGGTGCTATCTGGTTTTGGTAAATGATGACTACCTTGCACATCGATTGATTTTTTGCAATAATAGGATCCAGTCTTTAGATGGATCTGCAGAACATGCTGAGAAAACAAGCCAAACAGAAAATGCATTACTTCTGTGAATTGTTCATGTCTTTAATTCACGTAAAATTAGCACACAACACATAGTCAAGTTAAAAAGAAAGAAGTGCTGGGTCAGTAAAGGTGAAGAAAAACATGTTGTTTTCATACATCCTGTGGATATTAATTCCTTTTAAAAAGTGGCTTTGAACAGTCAATTAGTTTCTTACCTTTTAAGAAAGATTTCACTTATTGTTACAAAATGTTCTGAAAATGTTCTGATCTCTTTGAAAGGATATTCTCAGCTTACATCATATCCAGAAACTCATTTAGGAAGAATGTTCTGGATGCTGCATATACTTAAAAAAACAAAAACAAAAACAAAAACAAAAACAAAAAAAAAAAAAAAAACTTTTTACTTTGAATTTAACTTTTAAACTATTTGAAAGAGAACAGCTAATGTTGTCTGTATAGCTATTAAAAAATAAAATGGGTTCTACAAAAAGCCTTTGAAAAAAGCATGATTACATTAAAAAAAAGAAAAAAAGGCTCTAAAAGTGTCAGCTTTCTATTCAGAAAAACTGTTCCCAGTGGCTCCTTAAAGCATATCAGCCCTTGCTGTTCAAAAAGACCTTTTGTAGGATCCTCAGACAATTTAAAGCTACACAAAGTTCTCAAGTCCCTAGCAGATATAACTATGACTTGCAGACAAACACTTCTGCCCACTACTAATATCTGAAAGGAGTCTCCCAAATTGTCCTCTGCTGTAATCGTTTTCCTAAGCCTCTGTTCACCTGTATTATTATTGTTGCTTTTAATCTCATTTATTCTCTCTCTTTCAGATGACTAGCAGCAGTCTTCTCAGAAAAGATGTCAAAAATAAAGAAATTAGGAGTATAACATTTTGGTGACACAACATCTACAGAACATGTTATGCAAGACTTAGGCGGAGAGAAACTTGATCCACTTGAAGATGCTAGAATCACTGAATACCTCTTGACTGATGTCAAGGTGCTATGCATCATCTCACATGATCACATTGAACCTGAGTTCAATGAAGGGTCACAGTCTTTCCTTTTACATTATGGAAAACTGGATCTGGATTTTAGTGGGGCTTTCCATTAATGACCTCTGACTAATTTAGGGTATATAGTGTTGAGAGTTATTTGAAATGTATTTATAGCAAAGTAAGTAAGTAGAGCTACTGATTGCACACCCCAACTTAAAACCCAACAGTCCTATGATTTAGGCTAATATAATACACCATTGGAAGCTGATTATTTTCGCTAGTTAAGCCATAAAGCTGCACTTAAATATGAATAATAAAAAAATGGACTATTAATAATAATTATTGCAAATGTCACTGATTTCAGATTATAAAACTTAATAGACTATCACCATTAAAACATGTGCTCTCCATAATTATGCTGTGTACCAACTTGTGCTTGATTCTGTCTTTGTGAGTTATTTCAATGCTCCTTTCAAAGCTTATGGAAAATTTTCTTTAAAGAAGAAAACAGTTGTTTTATAGGCAGCTTGGGAGGGTTTTAAGGGAAGAACCCTTTTCTGTTCAAGGCTTTTTGACAGAATCAAAATAGAAGAAAAATCTAAATATTTTCCTCACTGTAAATATCTGTGTTGTCTTGACATGTGTATTTTCCTTTATCAGCCAATCTTTATAAAGCAGAGTATAAAGCATATTATGAATAACACCTTAACCAGTTCTTATGTTTTTATACTTTGAGCATAAGTGACAGGCTTTTAAACTGGGATACAATGAGAATTCAGGATAGACCTAGCATTTGTTCTACCTTTCATTTCAAATCACAGCAAGGGAATGTCTAATTGGTCTGATCAGGTTGTCAGCTGACCCTTTCTCCTTTCCCTAAATTTTCATTCCAACTTCCTCTGAATGTCACAGTTGGGTAGGTAAAAGTGAGTCAGAATACAACATGAAATTGTTAAATGATGAACTCAATGCTTAGCTTAATTTCAAATGCAGAACTGTTCTTGCATATCAAAGCATGGCTACAATGGGAAGAATTCTTTCTGGTTTCTGACTACTTCACTGAAGAAATATGTAAGAGCTCTAGCAATGGGCAGAGAAAGAGATGTGTGAAACAGACACGAGATGTTAGACTGTAGATCAAGGTTCTGGAAATTAGGGGATGGACTCTATATAGAAATAAGTGCTTCAGAACTCCCAAGTCAATGGAAGCCTAATACACCTCTTTTCAAGTGACTACAGGCTGAAGTCGTTTATAAAAAGGTGGATTAGCAGATGTGAAAACTTATTACAGCTAGCTAGCTATATGCCTCAGTTTCCCAGTTTGTAAAATGTGTGTACTTCTTCAAATGTCTCTTTAAACAAGGCTTATAAATGTTCAGCTTAAAACATGCCTTATGTATATGAAAACTTGCCATATTATTACTCACAAGATTGGCAAGTTTTTAATATAAAATAAATGAGGCTTAAAATTATGTTATAAAGCCAGAAATACCTAAAGCCAATGTGACATTTTAACATGGAGCAGAAACATTTACAACGAGCAAAGCATCTAGAAATCAATCCAAGGGGCCTTTAAGAAAATAGCTGAGTTTGTCAGTTTAGAACACTAGTGCACCTAGCTTCTACTGTGAACATATCATCCTAGTACAGAAGACATACAGCAATAAATGAGATGGTAAATATCTTCTAAGGAGAGGTCAATATTTGCTATGCCTGATACTTTTTTAATTCCTCAAATCCATTAATGCCTGGAAGGCCAGAATTCAGAGTAAAGCCATTGCATCTTCCTACTGACTTTGGGTGGAGCTTGGGTACCAAGCATCCAACCTGCCCCATAGAACTTACACAGCACTTATGAATTCAGAGTGCCACAAGTTATTCATAAATTTTAGGATTAACCCCTTGAAGAAAGGCCCAAAATGTGGCCTGGCCACTTCAGACCTCTTTTGGGAGTTTACTTGCAGTTACAGTTTCTATAGATCTTGTGGTGGACCATCTCCATCCACAAGGAATAATTCTACTTCAACATAAATGATGAATTCCATATGCTGATTACATCACCAGATGAGAACATTTATTGTTTATCTGTTTCTGTGGGGCAGGGATAATTTTTTTTCTTTAGAGAAGGATTATCTTTAGAGTTCACACCCATAGAAAATTACATCTGAAAGAAACTATGACTAGGTTGTATGGATAAAGTCATGTAGCATCTTGATTTTTAGTTTGTTTTGAGGGGTTATGAACACTATTGTCACCTGTACATCTTCTAGGACACTGGCATTACTTAGCTAATGACAAAGGACAAGTTTTCTGGAGTATATATTCCAATCCATACTCACATGTCAACCCAAACAATCAGTATGTTCATATTTACAGGTGTGAGTGAGCCCACATTCATTTTATATTTTGCTGCAACTTGTTATATTAGCAAGAGAAATTTGGATTTACAGCTTTTCTTTTCTTTTTTTCCAGGTATTTTTTCTCCTCTATCCCAAATACCAGTCATAAAATGAATCATATAATCATTAAGGTTGGAAAAGACCTCCAAGATCATCTGGTCCAACTATTGCCCTACCACTGATATCACCCACTAAACCATGTCCCTAAGCACCATGTCCAACCTTTCCTTAAACACCCCCAGGGATGATGACTCCACCATTTCCCTGGGCAATCTGTTCCAATGCCTGACTACTCTTTCTGAGAACGAATGTTTCCTCATTTCTGACCTAAACTTCCGCTGGTGTAACTTGAGGCCATTCCCTCTAGTCCTATCACTGGTTATCTGCAAGAAGAGGATGACCCCCAGCTCCCCACAACTTCCTTTCAGATAGTTGTAGAGAGCAATAAGGTTTCCCTTGAGCCTCCACTTCTCCAGACTAAACAGTTCCCTCAGCTGGCCACCCAGCCAGTTTTTAACCCAGCAAAGAGCATACCTGTCCAAGCCATGGGCTGCCAGCTTCTCCAGGAGAATACTGTGGGAGACTGTGTCAAACGCTTTGCTGAAGTCTACATCAACAGGCTTTCCCTCATCTACCAGGCAGGTTACCTGGTCAAAGAAGGAGATGAGGTTGATCAGGCAGGACTTGCCTTTCATGAACCCATGCTGACTGGGCCTTATCCCCCAGTTGTCCCACATGCTTTGGGTGACTGCACTCAAGATGACCTGTTCCCTGGCACTGAGGTCAGGCTGACAGTCCTGTAGTTCCCTGGGTCCTCTTTACAAACCTTTTTATAGATAGGCATTTCATTAGCAAGTCTTCAGTCATCCGAGACCTCTCCAGATGACCATGACCACTGATGGATGATGGAAAGCAGCCCAGCAATCACACCCAACAGCGCCCTCAGCACCCATCTGGCCCCATGGACTTGTGATAGTTCAGGTGGTGCCACAGGTCTCTAATTGTTTCCACCTGAACTGTGGTGGGTTTCTTCTGCTCCCCATCCTGGACTTCCAGGTCGGGAGGCTGAGTACTCTGAGGATAAGCATTAAGAAACTCAGCCTTTTCCTTATCCTCAGTAGTCATGTTCCTCCCTTTATCTAGGAAAGGATGGAGATTCTCATTGGCCCTCCTCTTCTCATTAATATATTTATAAAAACACTTTTTGTTATCTCTAACCATAGTGGCCAGGTTGAGTTCATGCTGTTCTCGTTGAGCCTTCCTGATATTTTCTCGGCATATGCTGGCAACTTCCTTGTACTCTCCCTGAGTTGTCCGTCCCTTCTTCCACCAGATGTAAATTCTCTTTTTCTCCTGGACACTCAGCACAAGTTTCCTGTTCAGCCATACCAATCTTTTTCCCTGCTGGCTCATCTAATGGCACACAGGGACAGCCTGCTCCTGTGCCTTTAAGACTTCCTTCTTGAGTAGCGTCCAGCCTTCCTGGACCCCTCTGCCCTTCAGGACTGACTCCCAAGAGATCCTCCCTGCCAGTGTCCTGAACTATTCAAAGTCTGCTCTCTGGAAGTTGAATGTAGCAGCTTTACTGACCCCACTCCTGACTTCACCAAGAATAGAGAACTCTACCATTTCATGGTCAGTCTGCCCAAGACAGCTCCTTACCACCACATCTCTCACCAGTCCTTCTCTGTTCCTGAACAGCATGTCTAGTGGGGCACCCCCCTGGTAGGCTCACTAACCAGCTGAGTCAGAAAGCTGTCTTCCACGCTTTCCAAGGATCCCCTAGACTACTTCCTTAGGGCTGTATTGTATTTCCAGCATATGTCTGGAAAGTTAAGGTCCCCCCTGAAGACATATGCTGGTGACTGAGCAACTTCCAACAGATATTTATAGAATGTCTCGTCCATCTCTTCATCCTGGTTTGGCGGTCTATAACAGACCCCCACCAGGA